TTATATCATACTCCCCAAATGTGACAATCTAGCTTTAGACTCAAGAATCCGTCAATTGACCACCTAGGCGAAAGTCACTACCCTGGTGCCTTTTTAATCATTTGAACAACTCGCAATAGTTTAACTTTAGTTTATTTTAGTTTAATTGAGCATTGTAGTTTTATAAAATTAGAATCATAATCAAAACCAAAAATGTGTAGAAGTTCAATTTGGAGCAAATACACAACTCCACTTTAGATAGACAACCGACTCCAATATCTAGCTCCCTGTGGAAATCGATCCCGACTTTAATCGGGTAAAAGCTGTTTCGACCTCTCTAGCTACTCAATAGTAGTGCAGGGTTGGTCTCGATCAGCTGGTATGCACGCTTTGTTGTTGCTCCTATCAAAAGACTTCATTATAATCAGATACCTAATTTTTCAGCAACCATGGAGGTTTTTGATGAAATTCCCAACTTTCATGCTTGGGTAGAAAAGATGTTAACAGCTGCACCTATGTAGAAAAGATATTGGAAATATCTTTCTCAAAAATTTAGTTGGAAAGTGAAGACGCGCAGTAATTTTTACCTTCAATGTCTCTCCTTTCTCTTCCTTGTTTATTCAGGAATTTCTCATCCTCCCCCCCCCCTTCCCTTTTTGAGTTTCCTATTCGTGGCATTAGTCCCTCGTCTGTTCCATTAACCAAACTTTCTGTAAGTCTTGCTCAGGAAAGAATTTTAAGTGCTTCTTCTTCAAAGAGGAAAAATGATGGAGCCCGTGGCTCTGATGGCGAAGAGGAAACAAGTGAGGGTTCTTTAGTGTGAAGACCACGAGTCAGAAGACGTGTGATTTCCAATGATGAAACTACTCCTTCTCGCGACCCTCCAACAAATTCAGTACCCTTTAGACTCACGGATGAGCAAGAGAGTGCTCTTTTAGTGATTTTCGATGAAGATGTTGTTATCCTCCCCCCTGACTTTGTTGATAGATTGTTTGATCATGGCTTCGAGAGTGATGAANCACACACACCCCGTATCTCTTCCTGATGCTACCCCTGCTGTTACTCCCGTGGCTGCTCCACTTCGTCTGCTATTCCGTGGCTGCCTCCCATGCAGAGACAGGACCTTCTAGCAGCAGGATGACAATGAGAATAGGTGTTTCTCTCGTGCCTTCCTCTCTCAATTAATTCTATTAATTGAGAATGTCATTTGCCGCTACATCACTGCTCTACGTGTCTGCTTCGTCGGCATACTAGCATTCCACGTGTAATGCCATTTTCCCACCAATACAACTAGACCAGTTGTTGAGTTTTTGCTGTGTTTGAAAACGTAGCCTTTTTCAAACCAAAGCAGCACAAACAATAGTTTTCAATCTTTTGAATCATGCAAACTATTTATTACTTCATTTTACAGAATTTGTATTGTCCGGAAAAAAATAAATTAGAACTTAATAACAGGAAATTGATAAAGTGGCTTTGTTCTGGAGGCGCTTATGCTTTACTTATCATCGAAGACCACAGTTTACTAATAAGATGCTTCCAGCTGAAATTTCAGATAAGTACCAGTCTAGCAGATGCCTGAACAAAGCCAATAAAATTATCACAGGACTAAAGAAAGAAAAGAAAGTAAAGTGAATGGAGGAAGAAGAAAATATAACACATAAGAAAACAATAATTGTAACTAAATTGTATCGTAAAAACAGATTGAATGGAGGAACTAAATAGCTACAAAGTACAAAGTCCAGGAAGATATAGGTTTTCCATTTTTGTTTTCAAATTTGTATAGCTCCATCTTGGTCTCAGCCAACAAACAACATCACTGTGTATTTTTCTTTTTAAATAAGTAAAAACATCACTGTTTAGGCTGCAGATTATGAACTAGTATCCAACACTGGATACAATTTTGAATAAAAACTGTTCATAAGTTTTTTCGGCTTAAAACACTGTAAAATATTTCCTTGTCATGCATTAGCTGCACTTTTGTCCTTATTTTCATTTTCCGAGGTGTCAGGTTTGCTGCTGACAGCGGGGGAAGAATCCATCAAGCTGGCAGCAATTGCAGCTTTCAGATCCTCATCTTCTTGATCTAAAAGCATTCCATCTTCCTCATACTGGCGGTATGGGTCAGAAGGCCACGAAGTTTGACCACTTCTGCCACCAGTTCTCTGTGCTGCGTTGCAGGACTTGGTAATCCTCTCTGCATCTTCTGGTAACAGCCATTGTCCATATCCATTAGAAGCTTCAGAAGAACTGATCGGACATTCCTTGGGAAAATTTCCCTTCACCAGAAAAATGCTCCAGCCAAACCCTTTCAAAGAGTCTAAATAGGCTGAAAGGTAAAATTTGGAAAGGTGCTCAGGCGCAGCCTTAAGACTGTCAAAGTTGTACCACTCCCCATTTACTTTCCTGATACAGAACCAATGGTCCTGCAAGTGACAGATAAATGCACTTTCCAGTTCTGGATCAATCTGAGCCGGCTCAGCAACTGGGCTGTCCAGTGGAATGATTTGCAGATCCCACACCTCCAGTGCCTTTTGCAAAACCTGCCACCCAATTTCAAGTTAAAAATTAAGCTCTGCAGATAAAGCATAATGGTAATATAAGAAAAGCAATGGAAAAATAGATGCCACAGGAACAAGCAAGTTGTATGTTCATAGTGCCTGATTCCCTAGTTATGTCACACGCTAATTTGTCTTGCTCAAACTCAAACAGTTTAAACAAAACTTTGGGCTACATAAATGAGCAATAAACCCAGGCTAAAGCTAGACATTTCACTTGCTAACGGGGCAAACTAGATTTGCATTTCCACCATTCTTTTATGTCTAGCTAGTATATTTAATGGTGGCCTCAAAATCAATACCACCTGCATATCCAAGGAACAGGTAATCATTTACCATAGAGGATAAACAACATGAGAATAAATAAAATGCATGTCGGTAGGTTGCATTGAAGAAAGGAGAATTATTAAAAGGTTAACAAGAACTTTTAAATTCCAAACCAGCATACAGACATGTAGATCCAGTATTGGCTACATATCTATCTCTCTTTATTATCACCTGTGAATTTACATGCTTTTGATAGGGACAATTAATTGGTGATCTTCAAGAAATAAGATGGCAATGAGCAGCACTCCTGCCTCTCAACACCTTCCGTGATAATTACCTTATTTACAAAAATTTCATCCCATAAACATGCTCTTACATGCTAAAAGTAGACCACTAGGGATATTGACAATCATTATAATTCCTTCTTTATTTTGGAAGAAGGTATGTGTATAATAATCTTTCCTTCTATATCTGTTGAAAAAATAGGCTTGCCGAGCTTATGTTTTCAATTGATCGAAATTGGGACCCTACCAGATATTTAAATATTTGAAAGAGAAGATGTGATATTTGATTAGGAGACTAACATCAGACAACATTTACTGCAGTCACAAATGCTACTTTCTAATCTTTTTTATTTTTGCTTTTTTTAATAACGGAGGTGTTTAAGCCCGTGTGCTGGCACCTCAACTATTCCATCGAGTACCCATTACCTTTTCACTAGCACAGGCATCAATATACTATCAATCAAAGCTCTTTCACAACTAATATGCCCTAAACTATAAATAAAGTTCTCAAAGAACTTTCAAAATCAGGATGAAGAGAAAATTATAACTAAAGAAGAAACCAGGATCATTTGCCAAACAGCATTTGCAAACAGCAGGAATCAGAGCAAAAGCTCATCAACAGTTTGACAACGAAATGCCATACAAATACATAGTGGTTTTCATCCATATTATGTTCTCTCCTCATTGTTGCTCAAATTCTATCACTTTTTTCCCCTTTCTTTTTCTCTCTTTTTCCCTTTTTGATACAGTGGCGATATCAAGCCAGCTTTGCATCTCGGCTAGTCCATTAAATACTTGTTACCTCTCACCAGCACATGTACCAGGTAAGTCTGTCCACCAAGACCTAGACAGATAACACAAGTTCACCTAGTTTCATCTCTATTCAGATTTCACTAGATTGTTACTCCACCTCTTTGACCGAGGGCCTCTTTTCTCTTTCTTTTTATAAAAAAGTTCTTTTTTGTTCAAAATATGACATGTCATACTTTTGCGTAAGCTGGTGATCAATCCTTAGATATAAGAATGATTACAAGACCATCTCATATTTAAAAGTTACACCCATCAGCACTCAAACTAAATATTATTGATTGTATTTCTCCTTTTTAAACTTCAAAGTTCAATCACGTCAAGAAAGAAACTAATTTACTTCTTTGATGTTGAGCTTGAATCTAGTCTCCTAATTAGAAATCTCTTCTTTAGTTTCCACAAACGCAGAATTCATTATGCTTGGTACACATTTACAGAAGTCCCATAAGAACATTAAACTTTGTTACCTGAAGAGAATATAAAACCAGATTGCATTTGGTAATAAAAAATTTTAACAACAACAACAACATACCGTGGGGTCTGGTAATAAAAAATTTTATTTACCAAACAAAAAAAGAATATAAAACCAGAGGAAAAATCTTGCTCACTAAAAATATGGAGCCTTCTCTTCAATACAGACTCAAATCCATTGCATACACACTAAATGTTATAGAAATAGTTGACAAAATAATCTGATAAGATTCTTATTGTGTTGGAAATTGGTATCCATTCCATTCATAGACAGGATATATCATATTAAACTTGGATTTTGCATCCTTTATATACAAGATTTCATTACAATAAAAGGCTGGATCCTGTGTTCCTTGGTAATCAATAGTTTTATGACAGTTCAAAACTGATGAGATATTTCCTCAGTTCATATGTCTACATATTTCGTCAGATCTGAAATTGCACTCCTGCTGAAGTCAGCTCTGCCTAAAGTGAATAAAACACGCACCATAAATCAACTCAATTACTATGACAGAAAGTGATACAATTTCTACACTCATGGAAGTTCAATTGATGACTATGTTTTTTTTTTTTAAAAACTGAGGAATATCTGATGGCAACTGGTGCACGGTTTAAAATTCGGTGGATAATGGGTCCGACCTTCTGCCCTTCTCCAATTAATACCAAGCTTTTGTTTTCGGGCAGGGTTCGAACATGTTACGTGCACCTAACCCACAGATCACATGTTGCGCCCTTACTACTAGATCAACTCCAAGTCCCTGGGGCCAAATGATGGTAAGCTGCGCATTCAGATTTTAGAAAGAATAAAATATATTCATCTCACAAACTTCATCCAGAAATACAAAGCAACACTCCACCACTATCACCCCATAAAGGTCCCTTAATGACGTGTAATTCAAACCGGTAATAATTATGCTACAGAAAAGGGTTTTCGACTTCCGTATTACGTATTGTAAGTGACCATGATAACTCTTTATGTAGGAAAGAGATAATATTTGATTAGGAGACTAACATCACACAACATTTACTGGGGGCTAACATCACACAGCATTTACTGCAGTCATATCAAGGTGCTTTAATCAAAATTCTTTCACAACTAAAAGACCTTAACTCGACATAAAGTTTCCAAATTAACTTCCAAAGTGAGGATTGAAGGGAAAATTTAACTGAAGTAGAAACCATAGTCATCTGCAAAACAAAAAGGGATCAGAGGAAGTACCTATCAAGGACTTTGTTAACAGAAGAATATGCTAATACATAGTGATCGTCATCTAAGTTATGACCACCTCCTTTTTCTTTTTTTAAGAAAATGTTTACCTCCTTTTTCTTCTCCTTCCTTTTTAAGATAATCTTTTTTTGTTGGGAAGTCGGGTGGTTATATTAGATCATTTCATATATGTCTTGTGATGTGGTGATTATTTGCTAGATTAACGAGTTTAAAAATTGAACCCATCAGTGCACAAACTTGGGTTTAAATAATACTTCTCCTTTCTTCACTATAAATCTCACTGAAAAAATTTACTTCCTTCATATTGATTCATGGTAGATCTGCCAAGGACAAATTTAATTAACTGGCATGATATTACAACTAATAATCTAGTATGAACCTGGTCTACTGAATAGAGATCTCATCTTTAGTTTTCACATATATAAAGTTATCATGCATACGTAACAGAATGTTTACCGAAAATTAAAAATTTTATTGTTCACTGAAGAGAACCAAAACACAGCTTGCACGACGAAGCATCCCAACAGGCAGTTTGGATCTAGAAACCAGGCCCAGACAGAGGTAACACATGGACCCCACTCTCCAATAGAGGACGCGTTCCAGTCCCCCAAATCTATTGTCAAAAAGGAAGCAATTTGATATAAATTTTCGACACTATACATTCAGATGTTTCCTCTTCCTGCTACTACTTTGATATCCTTTTCATTTATAAATAAGATATTGCATTAAAGCTGGACGAGTTCCTACAATATCAGTACTTAAGTGACATATTTAAAATTGATAAGATATTTGTTTACGCAATTTGTTGGGGAGGGGCGTGTTGGCTTGGGGAGTGGGTGGTGGGGGAGGTAGTGCGGAGACAATATGTTGAGGATTGCTTTCCTGGTGGGAGGTAGCACTATAGCAGGTAACGGGTGGAACAATCGAGGTGCACACAAGCTCGTCCAGACACCACCATCATTAAAAAAGAATATGATTATGATTCTTGTAAATGGAGTTAGGGCGTAGTGCACGATTCATAGTAAGGAGGTACTATGGTAAGTTGCTACTTGCAAGTTAGAGAGAAGTCGTGTTTCCTCATCTATCAATTTGGATCCTAGGGTGCCAGAAAGATATGCTTTTTATGCTTGGTTAGTGGTTAGGGGTGCGATTCTGACGGTCAAAAACCTGGGAAGAGGAGGATCACATATGTTAGTTAGTGTTTAATGTGCAAACAGTTGGGAGAAGACGTGGATGATCTCTTACCGCATTGCGAAGTAGCATCAAGTTTGTAGTGGGAGTTTTTTAGATGGTTTGGAGTACATGAACATGCCGAAACTATGAAGAATGCACTATTTAGTAGGCCGTTTAAAGGAAGGAATTGAAGACACCTTGTGTGGGTTGTCATTTTATTAGCACTTACGTGACAACATGGGGGGAAAGAAATAGCTAACTTTTGAATGGGAAAGAGCTTGATTTTGTGCAGTAGAGGAATAACCTCATGATTTTAGTTTTTTTTGGCGCACCCATGAGATTCTTATTTGTATAGAAAATTAGGCGTCTTTCGTAGAGAATCATAAATCATATCTTCATGTGGATTCTCTATTTCTTTGGTATATCTCTGTGCTTTTGTATGGAGTGCTTTTCCATTATTAGTAAAATTATTCCGTAGGAACATGCTATCATGCAATACGTGAATTTCCACCTTGTTGAAGATCTATTAGCGCACCAGAATTTCCACCTTGTTTAAGATCTAGTGGTACTAGCGAAAGGCTTAAATGAATAACCATCGTTGTCAAGAACTTTACTTTTTGAAATGGAAAGTACAAATTTTGTTTAGGCATTTTATCAAATCCAGAATTCGAGACTATTTCTGGAATCCAACTTTACCGAAAACAAATGCAAAATACACATTAACCCTAAATACAATTATAGGAAGTTCCACAATCTCTGCATTCATGGAAGTTTACTTGACTGCTTAAGCTATTTTTGCATATTTTAGAAAACAACATACTAAATTGATCCCACATGCATCTCCCAAGGTTAAATAACAGATAAAATACCACGATAGCAACGAGAGTCCAGATCAGCAAATTCAAAATGAAAGTATCTCATCAAAATAATCATTTAAATCTTCAAAATGTAGCCAAACTCATTGGGAACTCTTGACTTCCAAATTTAAATATCATTACTATTTAGATTAACAAATTAACATTTTTCACATCCAAGGACGTGGCCCAGTGATCAATGGTCAATGATGGGTGAAAACCTTGGAGACCAGGGTTCAAATCCATAGACAAAAAAGGCCAGGTTATTTATTCCAATCGATCTAAGGCTTGGTGGATGGAGTTATCCGATACTTACGTCGGTGGAAGGTAGCAGGTACCCGGTATAATAGTCGAGGTGCGCGCAAGCTCGCCCAAGCATCATCCTTATTAAAAAATAGAAATTTTCCAAAGTATGGTAGGGCATATTGACAAAACATGGCAATATCCATGAAGATGAATTTGCCCATTATATTCAAATGGTAGCAATACTGGTAGAAAGGAATGCAAGGGAAACTACGTCCTGCACCCTTGATTATATTGCAGGTTTTGGATACGAAAAACAGAGGAATAGGTTTAGAAGATACAAAAGTGATCTTTTTTGTCCCAATTTGGTACCTTATTAATAGAATTTTTACCTTATCAAAAAAGAAGAAGATACAAAAGTGTGTTCTCAAATGATGTTCCGATCCAAGTACCATATCATTATTATAAAATACAGAAAACCGTCTCTGCTTCTCATTAATCAAGTACAAACTGCAGATATTGCTATCAGTTTATAACTCTAAGCTATACAAGTAAGACTTGATTGTGAATCAGCAACTCCGTGAGAGAAGTGTCATCCATTAGGACTTGAGAGAAATTTCAATTCCATAATTGAGCAAGTGAGCTAGGTCAGATGTGGAGCTACACAGAAGATGGACCTGGCTCTTTTCCTATTGAAGCTCGATTGAGTTTCTGGCAAATCATTTTCACCTAATTACATGCTTGCATATTATACACAATCAACCAAGCTTGAGCCAAAAACATTTAGCACACACATGACGCATTACAGGACTATGTATACCAAAGAAGTGTTAATTTAGATTTTATGCATCTAATACAAGGGTTTCAATCAAAAAGCGAGTTGAAACTCAGCTGGAACAGTTCAAACCTTATCACAATAGGATTATGAATTTCAACACAGGATTTCAAAAGGGTTTAAACTGCTCAACACTACTGCTTTCACATCAATGCTAAATACTCAAGATAAACATCATACAATAAAGAGCTCTAGACTACCGAAAACCTATCATTTCCTTATCAATCTTAGTTTGAATTAGCATTATTCAAAAGCTGACTAAAATTGACTCCTTGAGTCACACCAATAGTCATCCGATGTCAAACATAGCACAAAAGATACAAAGCAGCATTCAAAATAAGCAACTTACGCATCAATTTTCCAACAAAAATCCTGTCTTTACTTCCATATACGCTCAATGAAAAAGGTAAAAACATTAATTACACATAAATTTAATTTCCATTCATAAATCACTGCAGAATCACAAGACTTCAATTTTCAATTAGCATAAAGCGCATAAACATAAAATACACGTGTCTGTGTGTGAACCTGGATGCTGAAATCGCCGTCGAGGGAAACATTATGAGACTGTTCCGGAACAAAGTCGCCGCCACCTTGTACCATCATCTGCCGCTCCGCACGGTCCAGATCGGAAGCCACCGCCGCCAAATCGAACTCTGAGAAGAACGGCCCTTGTAAAACGGTGTTCACACAATGCACTGCGCAAAGCTTAGATTCTTGTACCTCATGGTACAACATCCCTCCATTGCTCACACCTTCCATTTTCCCTTCAACTTTCTTTGCCTTATCACGAAGCCAAAGCAAAAAAACCCTAGCTTTTCGATCAGAACACGCCTTTTATTTTTTTATTATCAAAATATAGTCTGGGTGAGAGATGTGAATGTGAAGTTCAGTTAATTTGGAAGGTAGAACAGGTTAGACTTGAGGGTGCAGAAACAGAGTTTGGTCGCTTCTTTATCCTTCTTCCTAATTGACACGTCATCTGCTATTCTCGGACCCAAAGGTTAAAAAAATTGATATATATTCATTTATTTGCATTAAATCATAGTATAAATAGATTATTATGTCGATCACACGAGCTCTCATCCATTAATGATGGTTAAATGATACAAACAAGTAATTTTTTAGCTGTTTTCGCATAGATTAAGAAATTCACATTTTAACATTAATTAGTAATAAAATTGATCACATTAATATTTATTATCTCTTCACATAAATACTCCAACATTATTTACTCCAAGGGGAATGTAGAAAAAGAATAATTAATTCATTCTTGAAATCTGAAAAAATCACTTATTTTGGACACAAAAAAAGACCAAAAAATTACTTATTTTGAACAGGAGAGAGTAGTATTCTCATCCGTATTAATCAATTAAAAATGATAAAATAACTATGTATACATTAATTGTGAATAAATATTTGCCGAGTTGAGAAACATCTCATTTATTCATTGTCTTTTTTCTTTTCTAATATTGTTTGTCTTTTGGCAAAATACATAAATATTCCCTTTAAGTTGTCATGAACTATCCGGCAAATATCTTATATGAGCTCATTTTCAATTAAACACTTTAAGTGATTATAAAGTGTATCAAGTAAATACTCGACGTAATCAGCCGATGTGTGTGATACACATTTCAAAATAATTTTAAGAACCAATTGGTATTAACACGTGGCTAAACAATTAAAATAAAATTAATAAAAAATTAGAAAACCTAATAAAATATAAATTACAAATTAGTCACCACCACTACCCTACTTCTTTCTTTCTTTTCCCCTTTTCCTTCTTCAACTCTTCTTCCCCAACAACCACATATAACAAAATACACAATCTTTTAATCCAGAAAATAGCTTAATTACATAATTATTTGTTTTGCTGGTAGGTTAAATCAGGTTTTCACATAATTTTGCAGGTGCTTCTTTAAGGGCCCATTATGAATAACATTATTGTGCTTCATTTCTTATAATTCCGTCGCCGCTGATGACACCGAGCAAAACAGGTAGAGTTTCGCTACCAGTTGCTAAACGACAAATTAATTGGACCATGAAATTTTTCAAATTATAGCCTCAAAAGGGAATTGGAGAAGGTCGATTGCCGGAAATGAGATTGAATTTTTATGCATGATCAGTGACTTTGTTATGGAGTAGTGGTTGTTATTGATTTTTTTTTTAAGATTGAAGGAGAAGAGATGAATTAATGGCGGAAAGTGGAACCGTGAAAGAGTTGTTGATATTCCTGTGTTTAGGTCAAGAAAATTTGGTGATGGAAATGAATTATTTTAGGAGTAAAATGGAATTAATATGGGAAAAATTAAAACAGTGGGATCCACATTAAAATTATGGTGGAGATGAATTTTTCGGTGAAGAAAGTGAAATTAACCGGGGGGAGGTTATAGTGGGACCCACAAAAAAATTAAGTTTAATTTGAAAGACGAGAACAGAAAAACACAATAAGATCCATGTCATCCTAAGGTATCTACTAGGCACACTTTTACCGAGTAGAAGTGTCTAACCGAAAATAGACTCAGTTAAGGGGTTTGCCTCATGATTGAGGACAATTTAAAGGGACTATTTATGTATTTCGTCTTTCATTAAAAAAATCCTAATATAACTGCATTCCAAAAGTTAGTTTATAAACTAAATAGTGCTAGACCATATAAAGATACTACTATTACTCAGTATCTAAACCAAATTACCAATAATATGATATATATAGAGAGAGGATAAATCAAGATCAAAGAAAGGTGTGTACGGGTAAAATCGGGGGCAAAGTTTCCTACGATTCCCCGGTGAGAGGACGAAGGGGAAGCACAGATCGACGAAATAATAGTTGAGGTCGGCAACCCCTCATATCGAGACCTAGGAAGAGTGAACGATATATATGACATCCGACATGGTAAAGCAACGCGCTCCGGACCGAGTATAACTTCTAGACCTCGGGAGAGGCGGTGAATGGTTATGCATGACGGATAGGGGACCGTAATATTTGTCCTCAATCAGATATGACGGCGCGAATCTCGTTCAATATCGATTATGGATCAATAATTACCGGAAAAAGAAGATTTTACCTTTTTTAGACTTATACTAGGACTGAAACTCTCCTACTATATAAAGGGGAAGTTTATCTTTAGTCTGACACATTGTAATACGCAATTCAAGGCAATATATGTAAGCCTCGTGAATTTTTATAATTAATTCAGACTAATTTCGAGATTTAAGGATGTAAGTTAATTAAACTGAACTATAAAAGATTAATTAATAAAATTATATTATTGGATAAGTAAGAAACTAAGGGTTGTCCATGACTAAGGGGACAAGGAGACAAGAGCATTAAATCGAATTAAAAATGAACAAAGGAATGGAAATTAAGAAAAATTTAGTAGCTTGATAATGGAACTCATTTGAATATAAAATGAGAAGTCAAAAGAAAGAGGTCCAAGGCAAGTTAGAGCTTGCAAAGGCAATGAACTGAAGTGGTAGCGCCAAAGTCGGCGTCCGCATTTTTTAGGAAATGGGATAGGTCGCGCGATATTGGCGCGTCGCGCCTGCCCCCGCGTCCCAACGACTAAAGCTAGTTGTTTCTTTTTTGGCAAGGAATAAGAATGGGCCATAAGACAGATATTTTAATACTTAAGATATTTTAATTATTTGGGACTTAATTATTGAAAATCTAGAGAGAAGGAAGAGCCATCTACCATTAATATATCTTTAAGGTATGAATTAAATGTCTTTCTTTAGTAAAATTTGGTTCATTTATTATATCTCTTAACTCTCCAACATCATGGAATTCATAGATCTTTGAAGAAAATCTCAAGGACACTTCAAGAACTCAAATCTAGAAAATTCTAGGGTTTGACAAAGAGGTAATATCTTCACTCCAAACTTAGGTATTATACTCCATGGGCGTAGTAGAGTGTATTATGAAGGTAGAATTTTATTTAAACTTCTATTCATGAAACCCTAAAAGAGTTGGTTGGTAGGGAGGATGAATAGTGTTGGGTCTTATTTGAACGATGTTATTTCAATCTTCTAGTGGAACGAATAGATCCCACAATATGTTTAATGAAGGATTTGGAGTCAAAATTCAAGGATTTACCTTCAAGTGATGAAATGGGGATTTTTGCTAAACTTATGAAATTAGACTTAAAGTTTTAGACACTTAGTTGGGTTAGTTAGTATTGTTGTGACGCGTTATTGAATTATGTGAGTTCGTATATGTAGATTGAGGCTTGTCGGCATTATCGGATCATTCGGGTAAGGTTGGAAGCGATTTGAGGTACGTTGAAACTTATTACCTTCAGAGCTTTTCTCCAAACTCATATCAAAACACGATTAAATTGGGCTTCTAAATATGAGTCCTATCTTGTGGGGACGAGCGAGTTGGGATTGTACCATTTCTTGCATCATAGAAGATTTGAGTGCTATGAATATTATTTTGTTGAAATGTTATTCAAATTTTAAAACTAAACAAATGAGAATAGCACTTGTAGTATTTTTTTTTTTAAAACGCAAATACATGAGTTGTGAAATATTTTAGATTTAACTATTTTCAAATAATTGATTTAGCTATGAATATTGTCATCGATAAATGTAAAGGTTTTGGGAGTTACTTAAGTTCACCGAGATTGACCTTGGATATTTTTTCTCATTAGGTCATGAAACTACACGTGCCGGTGTAGGCGTAGAACCTACCTTACGGTTGGGGACTACGACAGTGTACTTCCCATTAGGGGGTACTATCGTGCTACTTTATTAGCACGGCTGAGTCGATTCGTGCGGCACCACGATGAGACGACCTGAGCAAGTAGGGTATATGATACTTGCCGCTAGGTACATAACCTAGTTGACCTTTCCTCGTGTCAGTGATAGTATAGTGCTCCCGGTAAATGAAAAATCTAACATGATTTTGTAAAGATCAACGCTAAAGGAAGACATTGAAATGTGTTTTATCTTATTATTTTATTTCTAAATTGTTAATTGATATAAATGTTTCCTTCTTATATCAATTGTTATTGCATATCTTACAACTTCTTAAGGCTTGTGTTATATTTTTTGTTGGGGAACGGTTCGTGATTCGTCCTAGACATGTGGAGCTTAGGCCTTTCGGCCACATTTTTATTTCTGTTTTTAGGGACTGGACCTGAGCAGCTTGGACCACGTGGGTAGGACAGCTCTACATTTCCTGTTGATACTTTTGGCGAGACTCCACCCTCGCACCCGTGGAGGACTTTATTATATTATCATTCTTTTGAGCCACCGGGTTATGCCTTAGTTGGCTATGTCATTCCGTATCACAGAGATTCCATAGACAATAGTAGTATTCATTTGACTGAATACATAGGCAGCCCCTTAAACTTGCACCTATTGAACCTGTACCTATTAGACACCTATTGTTGTAAAAAATGTATCTTTTAAGCACTTTTTGCTGATGTGTCAAACGCGCGGTTCTCACTTCTTCCTAACACGTAAAAGCATTAATTTTACACTATCCTGCCGGAAGCACGAGTTCTCTCCGAAAAAATAAAAATTCAACGATCATCTTTTTTAGCCTACATTCTTCTCTTCTCCGGCTATATCAACCAAGTCAACCATTTTTTTCCTTTTTCTTCAGATGTAGCTATCGCTACCACCACCTCACTCGAAAGGCTTGTTCCTTTTTACCGCATTAACTTATGTAATTATCTGAGCATATGCCAAATTGGGCGGCCATGGTTTTTTCCTTCCAGAATTCGATGGTGATAACCAGTTGTGTTGATACCAATTAGATTATTTGAGTCAAATATATCGGTCAACGCCATCCACTATGAAAAATCCACAAAACATAACCATGTTCCTCACCTTCTCTTTTTCTTCAACAAAACCCATTCATTAATTCAACAAAACAGAGCCTTGTTTTCCTCGCCTCTCTTTCTTCAACTAAAACAACTTACTCAATTTTGAGTTCTTCAGTAGACCTCTTCCCCAATTCTTG